GTGTGTGTCCCTTATTCTGTCCCCTATTTTTCTGTGAAAAACCACGATTGTCCCTTATTTTCCTTTTCTGAAGTTGGCAACCCTAGGTCTAGCCCACATGTGTGTTTTCTCTATCAGTGGTTTTAAATGCCCAGTTCAAAACCTTCTTCAAAATGGAATATTTTTGTAAATTCTGTCGTCACATCATATTTTTTGATCATCATATAGCTGTTAGGTATCAAGTGTGCATGATAAAATTACATAATTTACAGAACACTGGTAATATCTGTTTGTTAATTTTTGTTGTTTTATGTGTTGGCAAATACCAAGTTACTTACTCTCAGAAAAAAGGTGCACTATCACTGAGTCTTTAACTTTCAAATGGTACTACCTTTAAGGTACTAATATGCAGTTTTTAAGGGTAAATAATATACAATGGTGTACTTTTTGAAAAGGTAACATAAAGGTAACATAAAGGTTACATAATTAATGTAATATTAAAATGTGGTTGACCTGGGCTGCTTTTCCCAATAGCATCGTAAGCCTAAATTGATCGTAGCTCCATTGGTGGCAATGGGTCTACGATGTACTTAGGCTTACAATGCTTTTGGGAAACGCAGCCCTGGTTGATTATGTCTGACCGTCAAATGCAGGTCTAAAGCCAGTGCTGGACTTGCTGTTGTGCTTGGGTTTCTTTGCGGTTCCTTATATGATTACATTTTGCTGGGTGGCTTCAATAAGATCCCGGACGTTGCACATTACTGTCACAACCCTCCTTGCCAAACACACTGTAGCATTTACATTGGCGACATAGCTGTTACGCCCTAACAGAACTTCCCTTAGCAATTGAAACCTGTCCTGCATCTGTATAGAGCTCTTTTACCATATAGACTGAACATTTTTAATCTGCTTACTCTAACTCTAAACTGAGAAAGGTTTAAAGCGTATCTCCGTAGGACAGACTTGTATGGTCACACGCATTCACCCATGACCAGCGAGCAGCTTCATTAATTTGAATATGCTGAGATAACACACTGCTGTTTCATTCTCCGCCTGTTTAGATTACAACTTTATGTAAGTTTTTAAGATATCAGGGCATTAATAGTTTCAAAGGTCAGCAGAAATGTTGAACAAGGTGGACTTGTAATCGTTTTCATTCCGTGTACTCTGGTAGTGGTTTACTTCAGTGAGTTTGGTTTGTTTTCCTAGGGTGGGACATTTGTAAATTTGTTTTGCATATGGACTATTGGCCTGTATGGAATGTATGTGGCCCAAAAATGTATTTAGACACTTAAGTCAGACTTTAACATGTGCTGTTTGTGGTTGTTATTATGCAGATGCAACTTGGTTTGATATTTCATGTAATGCAAGCAATGACATTTTCATGATGCCCTGGGGGTAAGCAGATAAACATCAAATTTTCATTTTTGGGTGAACTATCCCTTTAAGTGTCCAGGGGCCGCTGTATCTGCCAGTGTTTCTTTAGTATTATTGATATACCATTACAGTTTTTATAAAATATTTTAATTATCTGTTAATTTTAAATGTTCAGTTTTAATTTGAATTTTATAGTAGTGTTATGTTATGTTCATTTTAGGTAGGGCTGCACGATAAATCGCATGCGATATTTAATGCGCATCTTGTCAGAAAAGCCGGTTCTGTAATCAGCGGTAAATCTCCATCACGTGCGGGCTTTCACATTGAGCAGCATTAACTACACAGAGCCGTTGTTCACTGACGAGCTGCGCAAAAAATCGCGCGAATATGAACGTGGTTTTGCGCAGCTTGCCTGTTTTTTTAATTCAGTTTCTCCTGAATTACAATCCAGATGTGTTTCAGTGTGTTGTAGTGTGTTTAGTCTCAATCTCTGTATTAGAGAGCAGTATAACTTTTGTGTGTGTGTTTGTACTCTTTATGTGACAGAAATAGGTCAAGGTAAACATCTTAATTTATGCTTAATTAAGTTGTATCTGTAGCGAATCAGCTCATTCATGGGGAAATATGAATAATTAATCATAACTAGTTATAATTAATTATAAATATTTAGATCCGCTGTAGATATTTACTTGACCTCTCAGGGTCAACTGTCTGTCAATTCTAAGAACGTTAATTTCCTGGTTAAGGGAAATAACTTTCTTACTGTACAACTCTACACAGAGCCTGTAGCATAAATCTGCAGTTATGAGCAAACAATGACCAACGTCAAGTGTGATACAAGTAAGAATTTATTAACTACATAAACACTTAAACTAGTCTAACATACTACATAAACACTTAAACTAGTCTAACATACACAAACACTTAAACTGGTCTAACATACACAAACACTTAAACTGGTCTAACATACACATACACACACACAC